AAATGCTGGGAATTGATATAAAATTAGAAAAGGGATTATTGTCTATACCTCAGGCTCCAAATGGGATATTTGTTGTACTAGGTGCACCAAATTGTTGGTTCTTTTTTATCAGTCTTCAGGGGGCAGTAGTTTCAAGGATTTATCTAGCCTTCATAGCTCCAGGCAGTCTAGAGTATATGAGAATTTGAAATTTAATATTGCATTCTTCCTCCTTTGATCAGGATTCTTTTTTTTGGGGGGGGGGTTTAGGAAATTGGTTTTATTTGATTTAAATGAAGGTGGAAAAAAATAAAGGTTTAATTATATTTTTCTAAAAGTGAGTGAGTGGTCACTTGGAGAGTATTGCTACATATTGTCTTAAAATATGCACACACGAATAAAGAAACAAACTGAGCATGATGTCCTTTCCCAGGTGATCAGGATTCTTCAATGGAGTCTTTTATCACAATGTTCAGTAATGATAGCTAGGCACAGACAGTTGTTGATGAAGGCAATTAACCACATATTTAATGTACTTCTCTATTCAGACTCTTCCTCTGTTGATCCAGGCAAATAGGGACCAATTGCTATACTTTGGCTAGGCTATCTTGTCTATTTGTATGTTTCTCTAGTCAACCCAATCTAAAACAGTGTAAGAAAGGTGAAAGGGGGCCCTATCTGACCTCTCTGACTTCCCTGTTTCCACGAGGCAGAGGTTAGCTATGCGCCTCCGTCCATCTGCCTATTCTGATGCCCACCGTTCTTAGCCGAGGCACTCCACTTCTCTGCTGAGCTTCATAATTTGTTGCAATAGATTTCACAGAAATTCACAGACAATACTCACAATTAAAAAGACAATTCTGTCTTGGAAGAAGTACAGTCAGTGTTCCTTAAAGGCAAGGATGGCGAGGCTTCATTTTGACTCTTTGGATGTGTTGTCAGGAGAGACCAGTCCTAGGAGAAGGGCATCATATTTGGTAAAGTAGAGGGGCAGCGAAAAAGAGGAAGGCCCTGAAGATGAATTGGCACATCGGCTGTTGGCGCAGGACCGGCAGGGTTTCATTCTTTGGCACATAGGGTCACTATGATTCCACGGTAACTGTTTTAGATTGGGTTGACTAGAGAAACAAATCCAGAGACACTCATGTGTCAGAGAAAGCTTGATATTAAAGAGCAATTGTATATTGAAAAAACATCCCAGTTCAGATCAAGTCAATAAGTTGCTAAGTCTGATATTAGCCCATATGTCCAGTACTAGTTCATAAATTCATCTTCAGACTCGTAGCCACTCTCAATGATGCCGAACGCTGGAAGGACACAGACAGAAAGGTGAAAAGTCTTGTGGGTCCAGTGGCAGTGTAAGTATGTCAGCGCTGGTGTGGGTTTCCACATGGCTCCTCCAGCTCTCCAACTGCGGTTCTTTAACAGGAAGGTGAAGCAAAGAGAGAGGCTCTAGCAGCGCTCAGCAAGTCTCTGCATGGCTTGACTTGGAAGTTCCCAGAATCTTCATGAGGAGGCTAGACTCCACCCCATTCACTCTTAATATCCTGACACAAGATTATGTAGCTACCACAGTAACTAACTACAGTAACAGCAAGAATATTATGGGAAGTTAACAGGTTACTACAAGTCAGGATTGGAAAACAATAAAGATACAGTCATTGATCTACATCACTACTTCTCTAGCCAGCAGCCAAGTCTCTCTGGTCCGCAGCCTCTCAGCTCTAGGCCTTTGCCTTTGGGCCAGGAAGCGAGTCTGCTGCGGTTTCACAGTCTCATAGTCTCAGCACTGCCCTGCTGTTCTCTTCTGTAGTTTTGTTGCCTTGGCCTCTGGTTGAGACCTCTGCTTGGCCTCAGCCTGGCTCCTTTGCTCTGCCCCATGGTCTCTGTGCCGAAGACTCTGGTGCTCCACTGCTGGTGATGCTTTTGATAGCCCTGGGATTTCCTGGGGTTTTTGTGTTTTTGTTTTTTAGATGGCTCTAATATACAGAGGAGTAACTTTGTGGAGTTGTGGGTTTGTCTTTCAGCAGTCCTCCAAGGAAACAAAGGGCGGTGACTGGTTCACACCACTACTAAGTTGAAGACAACTGCATTTTAACCCTGCCCATTAGCAGCACAGAGATCTCCCTCCAGAATGAGATCGTAATAGGCATAGAAGCTCAAATTTATAATACCTTTAATAACAGATTATGGCTGGAAGGGTCATATTAATTGACTATCTCAAGCAATGAGTATCTAAATCCTTGATTTGAAACACTTGGTGCCTTATAACACTCCTCCTCTGCCCCCACTCCCCCGCAACTCTGTCTTATAAAGCAATTTGTTCAATTTTTGGTTCAATTTATAATGAATTAGGGCATTTAAATATAAGCTCACTTCGTTTGTCATTGAATTTTGACCCAACTGAAAGTTTTTATTTGTGTGTATGGAAGGGATACCTGTCTTTCCTTGTTTGAAAGCCAGGGAAGGGAAAT